TATGCAAAGCATGGCGCGTCTGTGCCGCGCCTTCCAGAAACCATTCTGGAAAAACCTACAGGAGGCGAGTCAGTTTGACCCCTCACCCGTACGCGTGTTAAGGTCAATAAACGGCAGAAATCAGGCGCTTAACGATCGCATGGAATAAACCACCGGTGCCCTTAATTTCCCATAGCTTAGCGGATTCTTTCTAAACCGATAAAACTCGGAAGGTTTTTTATAATGCTTTATTTGCGTTCTGCAAACATTGAGGATATCGCGAAAGTAAATTGTAGATCGATATGCTTGATCGAAATCTGAGGGTGAAAATTTTCATTGTAGATGGAATAGTCAACAATGTGTACTAACATCGCCAAGCCATGTTTTTTGTGGACATTTTTAACATTCAATAAGAATCGATTGGTGGTCCAATTTATCTAACATGTTTTTAAACATGCGCGCTCGCAATTCTTAGCAACAAAAATCTCGATACCGTGCGTTGCAGTCTCCATAGCCTGCGGGGCGCTACCTCAGTGGTTAACTTTATGTCATGGTCCATCGGTGGACGAAAACGATAACGGGTCTGAGAAATTACCTTTAAACACTTCAATTGGTTACTAAGAAAAGTTAGGTGACATAATTTTCAGCATGCGTACTCGCAAGTCTTGGAAACAAAAACCTCGACGCCAGGCGTTGCAGTCTCCGTAGGCCGCACGGCGTCGGTTCAACAGTTAATATTGAGCCGTGGTCAACGGGTGGACGAAAATGATGACGCTTCTTAAAGAAGTATCTTTGAACGCTTCAGGACATCAAATCTTACGTATACAAGGCAGTCTGGGAGCTTATTTCACGTGAACGATTTTTAGACTGATGATCAGAACAGATTGGCCCTTAAAGCACCGCGAAGTAGTGCTAGAATCTGGCGGTGGAACTGGTAAAGGTAGATTTCTATTTTTCGTGTTTCTGTAACTACAAATCTGTCCAGAAAGCAGATTAACACGGCGCCTGCCGTCTGGCGGCACTTCCAGTGGCCGACGCCGTTCGGTTTTACGGAATCTGCAACTCAGACCATCGCTGTCCCTGCTTTCAAGGTCGCGGGCATGCATGCTCAAACCTCTTGAGGCACTTTTTCATTAATCCATTCTGAAAAAAATGAACGTTCTTAGGCAAACATGGGATGGCCTTGCTGGTTCAAAACAAAAAATGACCTACCCTATTCAACAATAATGAGACATGCACTCCACTCAACAATAATGAGGCCCTCTATTCTTTCCGGGCAAGGTGTGCCTTGAAAAGAACACCAAGGACACCTTACCGGTTCCGGTCAAGAGCTGAAGGACCACTCCGTCCATCGCGAAGCGTCTTCTGGCTGCCATTCTAACGACACGGGGTGAGATCTCCTGGTCGATCCGGAGGCCATAGGAGGGATATATCATATCGCATTGCTCCCCTCCCTGACACGGGAGACCTTCTCACCCGCGCAGTTGGCCCTGGATCAGCACAGGAATCCTTATTACCCAACAACATCCCTGATCGCCAAACGTGGTCCAATAATTGTCACACAGGCTCCAGTTCCGTACTTCTCTGTTTCCTTTAGAGGCATTGAGAAATCCCTGAACGTACATTGTAAATGAAATGGGGTCCTGAGCTTGCATTGACATGGCCGATCCATGTTCGTCTTAAAGTGTTCAAGATTAAGTCAGAACTGATCACTGATAAAACTATATGATATGGTTTTGAACATACCCGCTCACAAGCTATAGCAAGCAACAACAGGCTGAACGCCCGGCGTTGCAGTCTCCGCAGGCCGCGTGGCGTCGGTCTGCGGCTGGGGCACGTAACGACGGTCGATAAGCAAATGAAAAAGATGATGCATCTTGAAATAGATGGCTAGTGAACTAGGTAAATCGGCATATATATTTCAATGTGGTGCAAAAGTAGGCTAAACAAAACCTTAATCCGAAAAGCGGGTGGGGGGGGGGGGGGCAGCTAACACTGCTGGCCCCTCCACCTGGAAAAGTGGGAGGCCATGCCCCCCTTGCCCCCCCCCTGCTCCTACCCCCATGTTTGAACATGCCCGCTCGCAACCTCGAGAGCAAGTGCAGCGATCGCCTGGGCTGTAGTTTCCGTAAAACCGAACGGCGTCGGCCACTGCGGACGGCGGGTGCCGTGGTAATCTGTCTTCTGGACAGACTAATAGTTACAGAAGCACGAAAAAATAGCGATTCTACATGTACTCTTCCGATTCTACCACCAGATGCCAACGTCACTTTGTAGTGCTTTAAGGGCCAGTCCGTTCTTATCATCAGTCTAAAAATCGCGCACGCGAAATATGCACCCAGATTATCTTCCAAATGTAAGATTTGATGTCTTGAAGCGTTCAAAGGTATTTCTTTCAGAAGCGTCATCATTTTTGAACACCCGTTGGTCACGGCTTAGTATTGGCTGTTGGGCCAACGCTGCGCGGCCTGGGGAGGCTGCAGCGCCTGGCGGAGAGGTTTTTGTTGCGAAGGCTTGCGAGTGTGCATGCTCAATTATGTCACATAACTTGTATCACCAATCGATTTAAGTGTCTAAGGTAATTATTTCAGAAGCTTCATCATTTTCGTCCACCGATGGGCCACAGCTAAAAATTAGCCACCAAGCTAACGCCCCGCAGACTATGGAGACTGCAACGCCTGGTGTGGGAATTTTGTTGCGAAGATTTGCGAGTGCGCATGTTAAAGAACCACGCTACATAAATCATATCACTAATTAATTATGACTGGATGTTGAACGTTTCCACCCAAGCATGGCGTGGTCATTTTGATACACATTGTTGACCACTCGATCTGCAAATTTTTATCTTCAAGTTTCGATCAAATACACCGATCTATAATCTACCTTCGCGATGCACTTAGTGTCACTTAGTGTCTGTAGAACCCAGATACAAATTCTGACAGAGCTGAATTCTATCGTTCTGGAAAGAGTTCACTAAACCATCGTAAAAGAAAAGCGCTGGTGTTCTACTTCATGCAGTTGTTCAACGCCTGATTCTTAGTTTATTGAATTCAAAATACAAACGGAATGGATATCACAGTAGCTTGTTTTCTGCCCTGGTTGCAAAGTAAAAAATAGCAATACAACGAAGAAAAAGGCGTCCCCTGTTAACAAGTAAGCTATATCCAGGGATTTATTTAGAGGAGGAGGCCACCGGCAGGGGGGGGGGGGGGGTTCAACCCGTGTTCCTCCTTGGCAAGGCTCTGGCTACGCCACTGCCTATACTCAAAAGCAAATCAAGTCGTCTACGTTGAATGATGGACAATGGCATGCCCGTTGGGCCAATTCATATCAAAGGCAGGCAGGTTCCCGGAGTATTTTTCGCGGTGGTGTGGTGTAAGTGAGGATAATTCGGAAAAAAGATACTGTTGCAGGTGTCTAGCATATAGTTTACAGACCAATTAGTAGTAACGCTGATCCATAAATAGGCAACAAAGCAGTCATATGATCAGTTCATAGTCAGTCATGCGGCAGACAGCCGGTGCAGGGCAGTGATGATGATTGGGGTTTTAGGGCGCGTCGACTTCTAGGGTCATTTTGCGCCCACAGGGCAGTGGCCGCCAACGGCGGACGGTGGCAGAGCCCAAGTAATGCACGTATGACAGGAGAGCCTTCATTCTGTGGCTTGGTTTTTAAAGGAGAATTTCCAGTTGTGTGGCTTTTGCCACATTGTTTTTGTCAGTTTCAAGCTTCCGAATTTGTTTCCGTCTCTAGTGCTGCGACAAGTCTTATCGATTGAAAATCAGCCAGCGGAATGAAAGCGCAAGGAAGATTTGTCGTACTGTGAGCCATCGATTCGCTTTCAAAATTGTCACCAAGCTATGTCCAGACCATATTTTGGCATCTACCCGGTGGAGGCAGATACCCCTTCAATGACCCAAATTTTGCATTTTGCATTATACCCGCGCGTGGAATTTCGCCTTCGCAGGAAAGAGTGCTGAAATGGACGAAGAATTCTGGGAAGCTAGACAGCCTCATTTGCCGAATGGCATAGATGAGTCTGTACAGGCAAAATTGTGCACCAGCGAGAAACAGCTCTTGGTGCATATCTAGCGAAACAGCCATGGCATTTGAATGAAGAGTGACAACAACCTTCGTCTGTACCCCCCCTCCCCTCCCCCAAGCTTGGGCTGGCTTTCCAGAAAAAACTCCTAAAGCACGCCCTGAGCTTGACATATGGGGTTGATTCTAAGCCTGCTCTACTAGCTGATGCTGATGCCACCAAAGCTGGCAAGACTGAAACGGCTCCAATTCCGCAAAGGCATAACATGGCTCAACCTCCATGTCGATGAAGTTGTCTTCGGTAAAACACAGTTGGAGATAAGCCGTTGCATTAACTGTCGAATACTTAAATAGGGTATTCATTTCTACAGTAATGTATGCATGTTTGGCAGTCCCACTTGGTGTGCGTATAGGGTGTTAGACAATGAGCACATCTTGTGGCATGAATTTATATTTGGACACCCCACCGATCGCCGTATTAATCAAGACGAGGGCCTCCTGCTGCACAGACCAGTCACCCAAGATGTTAGCAAACCAGGGCCTTCTCGGTCATGACGGGGTCCCCCGCCGCACATTGGGTCCACGCCACACGGGGCCAGGGTAACCGGAGTACTCCAGGATCTTTCTTTGAAATTCAGCCGGAGCGAGCGTGAGTTAGATCGAATTCATCAGTAACACGGAATGTATTCATCGTGGTTTCCTGGGAAGTCTGTTTCACTCGTTCTTATTCTACTATTGTGGGGCCAGTTCTTTTTGGTTTAATACCTATACGATAAATTGCACTATGCAAGCAGGCCGCCGAGCGACCACTGCTACCGGGTGCAAAATGACCACGGATGCCGACGCGCCCGGAAGCCCAAATAACAACGATCGCTGTTGTGATTTAAGTAGCATGGTCACGGCACGCTTGCAGGCGTATTGATGGTAAAGCTTCAATGGACACGCTACAACGAAGTCCAGAAACTAAAAAAACAACAACATAGCATGTCAATAATTACATGTATTAATTACCCTATCATAAAGTGACGTAGGGCGCAACATACGAACTTCGACGATGAGGAAGCAGCTTTGTCAGCTCTACAACGAAAAAGCGTAATCACGAATCAGGCATTTCAACAATAAGGGGGACCAAAACCATTCTTGTAAGTGATAACACATGTTTCGTCATGCACGGCGAAAAAAGTTGTGTAAAATCTGGCATTCCATGAAGATGCTTAAGTTATGTGCTCAAACGCAGCTGCCACCACAAATTGTATGCACCTTTTCAACTCCCTATTGCATAAGGCCATTGAAGAACTTGTCCAAAACATCAAGTGCTTACACCTCGACCACTGACGGTACCGTAGGAAACAACAGAATCATACTTAATCTTTCCATTCCATCACTAAAATCAAAGCTCACAAACAAGTAATAAAACGATTCCAAAGTCACAGCCTGGATGGCAGATTGCCTGTACCAGCGCAGAAATGGTGCAAAAAGACAGGCATCATCCCAGACAATGGACAGAATCGGCTGCAAGAGGCAGATCCCGATCCCACGGCTGGACGAGCAACCGTTTTCTAGGCTCGCACCGTGGACGGGAATACGCCGAATGACTTCCGATCATCGGCCTCGGGTGCTGAAACAGGTCAAGCTGGCGCCATATGCCGACCATGATCTATAAATAATGTATGGCGTTACTCCCTGGCTTAACCACTAACCACATCAACACATGCATAGGTCTCTGGCCAGATGCACACAGGAATATGAGCCCTTGCTACTCAACACTTGCCACAACAGAGAACGCAAGCCACACCAGGAAAACGATGTTGACTGATATCATCAGCTCCACCACGCACGCTCCTTGCATATTTCACCTCCTCGCGAATCTCACGTTCGGCAATCAGTGGCCAGAGAGTGCCGGCTGCAGTCCCCACTCAGCGGAGGGCGCCGGCTGCAGTCCCCACTCAGCGGAGGGCGCCGGCTGCAGTCCCCACTCAGCGGAGGGCGCCGGCTGCAGTCCCCACTCAGCGGAGAGTGCCGGCTGCAGTCCCCACTCAGCGGAGGGTGCCGGCTGCAGTCCCCACTCAGCAGCGGACCACCGCTCAGGTGCTCGGAGGCGCCACCGCTCAGGGTGACATCTCGCGCCCACCTGCCCCGCTTGCGTTGCGCGCCGGGGCGGACGCCTTGGATGGCGGGTGCGGTGTCGACCAAACGCCGGCTCTGGTCACGTGCACCGCTCGGAGCCGTGCAGCATACAGTGCAGAGAGCGGAAACTGAAACGGAGGGGCACAGCATGCCAAGAGGTACGACACAACGCAGTAAAGCATTACACACGCGAAAACGCACCCGCGCCGCCACACACCAGCCCATACACACGCACGCAACACGCATGCTCGCACGCAATACGCATGCTTGCACGCACACATACCCATACCCACACAAGCGATCAAAACACACACACACACACACACACACACACACACACACACACACACACGCACGCACGCACGCACGCACGCACGCACGCACGCACGCACGCACGCACGCACGCACGCACGCACGCACGCACACACACACACACACACACACACACACACACACACACACACACACACACACACACACACACACACACACACACACACACACACACACACACACACACACACACACGCGCGCGCGCGCACGTCCACATGCACGTCCACATGCACGCACACGTGCAGACGCAAGCGCATACACATACGCGCCGCGAGTGCAGGCGTCCACAAAACTGGTGATCCTTTTTGACACCGGCGGAACGAACCACTACACATGGTAAGGCCGGCGTCTGCTGCGGCCAGCGCCACGGGATGTGCACTCACCGGGTGGGATCCAGCTGCGTGTCCAGACCCGCCACAGACACCGTATTGGGTGGACGGCGCTCCAGAGAGTAGCTCAGACTAATCTGGAAGTAGGCGCCCGTCGGCCATCAGTGAACCGCCCCACCGGGCAACGCAGTAGGTCAATGACGCTACCCGGTCACCGACCGGCACAGCTGGACAGCGTGGGGGGGGGGGGGGCATCATCACGCTGATCACCGCGTGAGTGACGGTCCGTCTTGAGACGCGGAGGCTGGGGCGCCACCGTTTTCCTCGCTCTCTTGCTTACGCCGAACATTTCGGGGACACGTATGTTCAACCACGCGGTTCAGGGGTTCAGCAAGGCTTCTATTAAATTCCGGTATGACTTAACACTAGGGAGTTGATTGTGTTATTAACAGGTTGATGCAGGATCAACAATGCGCGATGAAGATGTTTATTGTAAAGGGCAGCTGACGACGAATAGCCACCAAACTGACAGGCCGAGCCGTCCAGGTGGCACTGAGGTTTACACGCCGGTTCCGTCTCGCGGTGACTGGTAGGCGCGTTGGGCTCATCACCATGTAGGTTCTAGCCGAGCCATCGCATTTCCCCTGACAAGAGCAAATACGATGACCTTGACCAAGGACGATCTCGTAACCCTTCCTTGCATCGTGCCTCAAAACATATCCGGTAAGATTTGGCCAACAGGCTGGGGAAATTATCCCGGTCCACAACTCGTCTTTGGAAACGGGGGTCAGTGTCTATGAGACAAGCGATCCATGTGACTTCGTTTGTTATTAACGCTAGCGACGCTACGCTAGTTGGTATGGAAGTCCTGCGGCCAACCAAAAGTCGCCCGTAAGTGTTCCTACCAGCGTTCCGCAAACAGCATTAAAAAAAGCATGCGCGGATAAGTTGCCTCTACCGGAAATCTTACCCCAGTGCCCTTACCCTTACCCTTACCCGTGCCACCAGACGCATGATGTCTGGCGGTCGGCAACGACGAGACGAAAATACATTATGACCAGGGCGATACCCAGGACCCGGGGTCCATAGCCATAACCACAATTAGGATGCGTGGTTGTGATGAATGCTGGCAAAGATCATGACTGTAGCCACACTTCCATACTCAGCTTAATATGCTCACATGATGACTAAGGCCCATAGCGATGGCACAATTTGGAGTTACGTTGGTGGTGTCACCTGGTGTTGGAGGGAGTCCGTTGGTATGGAAGACAACTGCTCCAGGTGGGAGTGGAACTCGTTGATGTGTGTCAGCCGTACCCGATGAGATGTCCCTGGGAAGCAGCAAGACACGCCATCAGACAATGTCTGCAGCGGTGCATTGCACAGGTGTTCCTTGCGACTTCCACCCGAAACTGCACGCGAAAAAACAAATTCACTGGCAGTGGTATAGGACACGGCTATTCTAGTCGACGGTGCTAGTGGCCCAATGACACTGCAACGCACGTGAATTTTGGAGTACACTCATGTCGAAGTGCAGCAGTGGGAGAAGCGGGACACTTACTATTGCTATCTACACTGGCCACTTACGCCTAACGCACGTGTTAAGTGAGAGTTAAAATAATCCAGGACAAAAGGTAGTTCATGACTACCAGTACGACGGAGGTGCCACCAGCTATTCGCTTTCCTGCACTTACACAGGATAAACCCCAGCGCTACATCGTCGGGCATTCCCAGCCGCAGACAGCTGCTCTCCAGCTGACCACCGCTGAAAGCGCGCGAGACCGTCTCAGGACCACGTGGCACCGAGCGAAACAAACAAAAGTCATTTCCGTACTTAGAGGGTCAATTGTGCAGCCATGCAGGACCTCCATCTTCGTCTGACTGGTCAATGCTGTCCCAAAGCCCAACACACCATGATCTGGGCATGTACATCTCATGTCTTATATTCTAGGTGACCATGTCTGCCCTTTTTCCGCTGTGAATTGTGCTCAGTGCAGGACGTTTTAGCCGGCCCAGCTGTCATTTTCTACAGATTACTCACACTAGCCCTTTGGCCGCCAGCAGAAGCGCGGCCCTACTGATACAAAAACCAGCGCCTCCCGTGGCAAACCGCAGGGGCGCTGTTTGACCGGCCGGCCGGTAGGTGGCAGAATGCTGTCTTCCCAGGTACCAGGCCTGGCGGGCGTTGTACGAGACCAGCATGGCGTCCAGCGCCGCTGTATTCACATAGTTGTCGTCGTCAAAATGGCAGAGCCACCTGTGGAGAGGGATCGCGACGGCGCAGATGAGCATGCCGCGCAGAGTAGATCACGCGTTTTCAGCGAGCATTTTCAGCAGCGAGTGAGTACATCACGCATTTTCACTCTCCTCGTTTCGGCAGCATCTGAGCTGGCATTTTCCGAACCACGTCAAATGAACGTCTACTTCATGCATGTTCACAAACCCGCCAACAGGGGCGTAGTTTAACAATATGAGTTGGGGAGGCTGAGCAGAAAACAATGACGAAAACTACATCTAAAATGTCAGCAAACGCGTTTTTTGCGACTTTGGTCCACGTCCTGCTCGAAGTTAGTCAGGGGCTGAGGCTTAAGTTGAAGGAAAGGGGAGAGGGGCTGGCGCTCAAGTTACGGGTGGGCGGGCTGGAGCCCCTAACTGAATAAGAAACTACACCCCTGCTGACCCCCGCTGACTCTAGATCTATCCCCCGGATCGGATAATTCAAATGGCGAGCAGTGGCTATGGTCGTTTACGGTCGTTCAATGGCTCTAGCAGTTACCTAACAGGCACAAATGCGGGGCCTTCTCTCGGTCATGACGGGGGTTCCCGCCGTACCTCTCTCATAAAGTCGTCAAGAGTTCCGGACCGGGTCCTGGACGGGGCCGTCACGACTCGAAGGGCTGCCACTCACCCGTGCTTAGTGGTGAGGAAGACGCTGATCTCGTGCGCCAGCCGGCAGCACAGCACGCTGTGTGTGTGTGCCTGGCCGCACCGGCTCACCTCGGCACCGACCCCGTCTGAGGGCGGGACCACGGACACGGTCAGGAATCGTCCCAGCTGTCACGGCAACCACGGACGGGAAAGGCCATGAGTTTCAGGCCAGCGCCAATGTACCTCAAGCGCACGCTGACTCGTGGATTATCTTACGGGTGATATTTAACTGTTCTCGGAAAGGGAACAATTAAAGTAATAGGTCGTAAAACATATTGCCCTGTTCTCCCAAGGCTGTGCTTTTAATAGCAGAGATTGTTGGTAGTGTTGGCGCAACGTACCCAATTTCTTGGCGATGGCCGTTACGGAATCAACGTCGGAGAAGAGCACAACCTGTGACCAGATTACGCAGATTACAAACCACTGCCACAACCATCCTGGCGTAAAACGGCGCGAAAGCATACGTGCAAAAGAAAAGTGAGTGAGAATGAGAACGAGATCAAGACTGAGGGCCAAGGAGTGGGAGGAGGGAGTCAGAAGAAGAGGGTCAAGAGATACATGGATCGGGACCGATGCTAAGATCACATTACTCACACCTTGGAACACCAGGATCGCGTCAAAACTCAACCTTGACCTGCTACACCATAAGGACTAGCACTGTGCCTTGGGCCAGGACTGAATTGCCTGTCGGGCGACGCGGGCGGACTGCGGAGCCCAACCTGCTGTGTCGGTCGAACATCCTGCAGCCAGGAGCGCGCCAGCACGGGCAACCGGGAGTCGTGGAGCTGTCCGGCGGTCCTGACGGCCAGCAGGGCGGAACCGCCGGCCGCCAGCGGCGCGGCCGATGACTGTGTGGTAGGCGCAGACACGCCGTCGGCACCGGCCGGCGCCCGCGCCCCCAGCCAAAGCAGGGCCAGGCCCACCACCAGCAGCAGCCCAGCACCGACTGTCAGCCACCGACGCAGTGCACGTCCACAGCGTCGCATTGACTCCGTGAGCTAGGCTCACACCTGCCAGCAGGCACCAACAGCAGATCTAGGAGTATTTATATACTTACCAGCAGGACCATGCTCAACATGAGTGGCCCTGCCTGGCTTGGTCACCACGCCTCTAACAGCTAATATCATTGCAGTCAGAAGTCACAGATTTGTGTACCTTTCAGCAACAAGGAGCACAATTATCCAAAACTTATGCAACTTATGTTGTTAGGCACTTGCATGTAAGCCACTTGATCAGGCATGTGTTTCTTGCAAAATTGTAATACTGTGGCAGTTTGACCTCATTTATTGCCATGGAAAACATAAAACTGTAATATTGCAAAAACACAAAAAGTGGAAAATTGGTGAACCAGAGCTGAGCTAAGTGTATTTGACACAGTCATTAATGAATTGGCTTTTGAAAAAAATATTCAAAACAAGTAATGTAATGATTATGAAACTTGTAGAACTACAAAAACCATATGCACTTGCTTTGCATATATTAGAAACAAACATGTTGGCTGTCATATCATGTAAGCTATACAGCACATCATATTCTAATCTGCTTTCTCCAGAAGTGATTCCAGAACTCAGCCCCATTACATATCAGAGCTGGAATTCACTTCAAATGCAGCACTGCCAACTGGAGTCAGTCAGCATCACACAACCACGAAATGTCAGGGGAGTGGTTTCCAGGGGCAAGTCCAGATGAAGGGCCCATGGGGCCACAGCCTGTCCTTGGGCCAAAGGAGCACCAACATGTGGTGAAGGGATACCAAAACCTTCATTTTGGACCCACATAATGTTTGTTCTCAAGATGCACAAAATTTCAGAGGCACCACAAATGCTCCAAAATCTTCATTTTTGACAGGTGCTGAATCAAGGATTGACACAGTTCACCTTAAACCTTCTTTCAGGACCACCAAATTCCAGGGAAACAGCAATCATGTCCCTCCCACCCTGACAAAATCCTTGATTCACTCTCTGAGACAGGAGCACAAAATCTCCATTTTGAGGCACCATGACCTTTATTTTTGAGGAACACTGAATCAGAATGGGTCACTTCAAGCCCCCAACACCATGATCCTGGGGGACCAAAATTTGTGTGCCTTTTACTCTGACAAAATGATTCAGCAAGATAAACCTTCACTTTGGGGCATTATAACCCCCCGCTGGGTCCTTTGGGACTAAGGACCAAGGGCCTGATTGCAGGCAGGGTCCAAGGATCTAGGCTCTAAAGGGCAGGTGGGCAGCCAAATGAAGGAAACACAGCTGGTGGGTCAGACCATGAAATGTGAGAGCACCTCTTGTATTGATCAGATGCTCCTTGGGACAGTGAGGACCCCTTTTTCAGTCAGCAGACTGAGACCACTAATACCGAAGTCAGTTCTGTGCAGGTCTGTGCCCTAGGGTAAACCCAAAACAGAGACAAGGCTGGGCTTGCAAATGTTAACCAAAAGGCCTCCTACATTGGCTGGGGTGCTGAAACAGCAAAGGATCTGCAGTGTTTAAAAAGTAACAGGCAACCTAATAAATGATCCTCTGCTGGTAATGAGATCCAGGTTGGCCAGGGGTGCATTTGTTGAATGGAAGCAGGGTTGGGACCATGGATGAAAAGTAGCCTCTTGTGCTGGTCTGGGCTGTCCTTGACAATGAAAGGTGATACAAAATAAGAACACAAGAATCAGGCTAAAAAAGCAAGAAAACAAAGCAATTTAAAACCATGAAGTTTTTTGAGAGGGGGCACCCAGCTCCGTGGGGTGCCACAATAAAGCATGCCCCCCCCCTCCCCTTGACAAAATCTTGAATTCACCCCTGGTGATCCACCCCCAAATTGTGTTAAGGACTAAACTGTGTAATCTTATGAAGCTTACCACAATTTTTCTGACAAATTGCTTGCAGCAATTAGCCAGCCTTTCTCTTAAATGGAGGGACTTTTAAACTGAATGTGAATCAACACTGCTGAAATAGTGAAAAGCAGCTCTTTGACCCCCACAAAGGTATTTGAAACTTGGGTTACTTGGAAATTAGGTCACCTCCTGCCTGGGTAACAATTGCTGTATTGAAATGGGTGCAGGCACCCCCACATGTATTTGCAGGTCAACATGTTTCACCTAATTTGATTGCAATTGAAGTAAGTACCTGTGGGCAAAATTTCACAGGATGATCACTTCCAGTGTGTTATGCTATCTGTACACTTCTGCTTCAGCATACCAAGCATGTTTTCCAAAACTATTGCACAATACATAACAGAACAATACAAGGTCATCATTGTAGCCGGTGCTGCATAAAAAAAACATTTTTTTCAAGTCATGAAATACCACACAAACCATAAGACTGGGTAAACTCTGGTGTCTTCAGCATTATGAAACACGTCACTATTGCCCGGAATACCTGTTGCAAATTTGGACACCAATCCAACCACCCTCCATCTAATCCTGTCAAAAAGCCCTGGTGGTGCCAGCACAGGACCATCCATGGGCACTGTGGGCCGCCGAACGACTCATGGGGCCCTGAATCCCGACCGATGTAAATTGCTGGCCTCGGTTTTCTTCCGCTCATGAAATCGACCCGGAGCCCACACCGCCACAGATCCGACTGTGCGGTCCTGGTGGCCCCCGACCGCCAAAGAGACCTTCGTTGAATTTGGCTGGAGGGGGCCCCCGATCAGCGGGAGGGGTCATCTGGCTAGCATTCAATGGCCCGGCCCTACGAACCGGGTTCCCCGAATGCGACCTACGGCCGGCTGTTCAGGCCATCCAGGTCTTTTGGGTTTTTCGGTCTCTTGGACCTTTCGGGTCTTTCGGGTTTGTCCAGCCCTCTGGGTCTTTCGACAGCCTCAGACCCTCACTAGCTTTGGAAACTAAGATGCACGTGCTCTCTGTGCCCCGTCCACGCCCGCGAGACCAGTTTGGATCGGCCGTACCGCTGCGGTTTATTCTCCTCCAAATGTCTCTGATAGGCTAAGCTCCAACTTTATTCCTGAGACATACCAAACGCCAACATCACACAAATTTCCACTTTCCACGCCGCCAGCATTCTTTAACTGCCCTTTCGGAGGAAGGGCGGCAAGACACCTTCGTTTCTGGAGGTTGGTGGCGGCTTCGAATATTGCGAACCTCGTTAGATGGCCTTGATATTGAGTAGCACCGTAATCAGCGCGGACGGGACGAAATACGGCAATGGAGAGCAAATATATGCTGTGTATAGCGTGCGAGGAATTTCTTCGTTGTTGGTGAGAACGTGAACCGTCGCTCGCTTCTCCCGGTCGACAGACGTCAGAAGTGAAGTCGACTAGTAAAATTGTAATTGAAAGGCATTCTGCGTACGATGGTGGTAACAGGTGCATGTGTAGATAGCCACATTTTGTTCATTTTTGCGAGGATATAGAGTTTCAAGCCAGCACTCTGGATGTACACAAGACCCTGCAATGACGTGACATAACGAACGGACGTTCTGGAAGTGTTGAAACGTGACACTGGATGTGATACTGGACACTAACATTGTTGAAATCCCTTGGTGATTCAGACTGTATATTTGTTTACATGATAGGGTTGGTTTCCTGTCTGCTTGGTGCAGATATCTGGCTTCAGCCCCCAAAATTCTTCCAAAATGAGCATGTGTAGAGTTCATCTTCAAGGCATAATTGTCCCTTCAATATATCAACAAATTTTGCAGTCAAATCTTGTCATTGAAATTGCTGTTATGTCAGGTCTTCTAGATATGGACCTCACTGGGCTTTTCTGCACTCAGCAAGCTTTAAATTTTGCTGATTGGGAAGGTAATATTTCATTCCATGGCACTGGTATAAGGGAAGCAAACATGGCCACACAGATTTGAGGGAAATACCTTAGACTTTTCCTGGCATATAGCTTAGTCAATTCCTATTGTTGTTGTTAAAAATAGCAAGTAGCTTGGGTGAGTGGCTGTAAAGATGTTAAAATGAGACATAATGATTAGCTGGTTAGACTGCTTAGCCACTCAGGTTTGAGATTTGTGCATGTTCATGTAAGACTCACTTGACTTGTGGTTACAAGGCTTGATTAGGTATACACAGGCTCAGTCAGTCTGTGAGACAAGGCAATGCTCCTATTCTGCATTCTTGTTGCTATGGCCTCATATGAGGTAAGCTGTGGATGATATGAGGCTGTGGATGATAATGCTCTACAGATCTGCTGATGATATGGGCTTACATGAAACATTTTGTTGATTTATTTTCTCTTTTGCATTTCAGGCTCCAAACATGAGCTTCACCAGTGTGTCAGAAGATGTTGAATTTGATGTTGATGCTGTTATAGCAAATTTCAAAAGGTGTTTGGCAAAGAATGGTTGCCTTTATTTGGATCCATATATATCTGGATATCATGAGCTACACAAGTAAGCACTGATAGGAATGCACACATATTTTGTGGCAAGACATTGTTTTTATCTGCTGTATCTCCCATTAATGATCTGGAGAAATTAAATGTAATTTCCACAGATAGACAATGTGAGCACAGACTGACCTTTGCCCCCAAGCTAACTCTACTGTCCAAAGCCGAAGAGGCTTAAGTGCAACTTCAACTAATGACACTCAGGCTTTTTTGTCTTTGGATGACAGAAATGTCTTCAATGCCTTGGCAGGCTCCTGGGCCTGTTGGGCCCAGTATGTTCTTTGCCAGATTTGACCTAATGACTGGTATTGGCAGGCTCTTCATCCATCTTGTTGATGTGTTGTAAAACAGGGGGCACAATACTGGTGGTCAACTCTACTGTGTACAATACAGGTTGGCATCATATTGGCACCTAGTGGTATCCTGGTAAATGGTGGCAGATTCCTGTGCCAGCTGCATGAATGTGTTACCTGTCAGTGGTGACCCATGGACTGTTGTTTGCAGGCTATTGAGCCGGCTAGGGCCGGTTTTCAGCCCTCTGTGCTCAGACGTCATGCAGAAACTGGTCCAGCTGGACTGCCTACGCAAGGGCGGCGCTGGGTCCAGCTATGCCACTGCTGAGACAATGATGGAGTATGAGACTAGCTGTGACTTGCTGACGCTGGACCGAGATGGCAACGGTTGTCGCACGCTGCTCCGGCTGCACCGTAACCTTGGTGAGAGACTGCTCATCTATCTATGACCGCAGCCCCAGCGGCCTGCAGCTCCAAAGCATGATCAATTAAACTGCTCTATGCACATAATTGACAAAAGCTAAGTTTCCTACTACTGATGGAAAAGGTTATATAGCAATATTTCCTATCAGCATGTATTTTTGTGTATGGTTCTCAACATTTACTTTTTCATATTGTGTTGTCCATTATTCCACAGCTCACTCATCATTTGAATCTGTCAGACCATCCAGTCATGTGCTGCAAGGGATTCAGAGCAGGGTGTCATCAAAATTAATGCGTTTTTCTTTAGGTTACATGGTAAATGATAGTGTGGTGGATGGATGCTGGGAAAAGGTCGTGAGCAAAATATCTATAAGAAAGTGTCCCACCTTTAAGGCATTTTTAAAGAAATATGCTCTGGTGAAACTTCAGGATGGATTACATCTAATGGCAGCACTAGGTCATGCCACTGTAGCACCATCAATATATGATAAGGATATTTGTTAGAATGAATTTGGAGTCCAAATGTCACTGACAACTTTTTGTTACAGCACTATGCTTCTTTTTCTTGCAATCCTCAGAACGTAGTCCTACTTTGCAACAACTGCAGATGTCGTGACTGCCGTCGTCATGACGACGGCAGAAGCTGCCGAGGGCCATCGTCCTCTGTTACGGACTAGAGGTACCATTTTTGAGCTGTTTAACCCACACATTGCGGGTCTACGGAAAATTGCTACCTCTGCTGGTATGAATGGTGCCAGTGCAAACATATGCTGATTATTGGCACAGCGAGCGCCGAAGGCCATTTACGGAGAATTGCATTTGTTAAAGTTTGAACCAGTCATTATAGGCCGTATGATACTCTGTTTCTCCAAAACCAAAATGCTCCTCGAAGAGAGCCGCAGTGCTTAATGCCATATACAAGAAGACAAGGCCATAACAAAGTTTCGTTGACCTCACACTCTAATTGCCTCTTTTTATATTGTGCCCCTGGATATAGTCATGAATAGAGGCCGTATTGTGCCGGATTGTAAGCAAAAGTGCAATAGCAAATAGTGCGGCTGAATATCATGCGGAACGAGGGCGTCTAAAGTCATGTTCTGTTAGATAGCGAAATGTGGTATCGCATGATATGATGAGGCTTTGAAGGAATGAAGGCAATGCTGGTTCCAGCACTGAGCGGATATCCGATGGTCGCATGTCTTCAGAAGAGGCAGCACCACCACTGGAGGCTGTTGCACGTTCAGGTGTGGGGATCGAGAAACCCCAGCATGCATGCGATACTTCCCCTCTCCTCCCCCTCACGTTCTGCGAGTGCACCCAGTAACCAGAATCTGAAGTCTGGTAGGTATCTTCCACCTTGGTTTTGTGGAACTGCGCACGATGCGGTATTGTTATGGACAGCCGTTGGGCCGGATTCGAGAGCATTATCCGGCAAAAATTGTGATCTAGCCGCACAGTGAAATCCACTACCGTGTGGCTGATAGTTTTGTGTCGTGAAAGTATACACTTTGAAACATTTTGGCACCCCCGCATTGTTGACATGTTTCCGCCAGTGAGGAATGTCTCTCAGGGTGTGGGTGTTGGCCACACAGTTGAATGCTCGGCTCCAGCTGCATTCTCTGCCGGCGCCGACTCTCGACCGGGCAGTTGTCCAGTGCTGGTGGAGTAGGTTGAGTGGGGCGCCCTCGTTTGGGGGATTGGCGCCAGCTGCAGGTTGTACTTTTTGCGTACAGTACTCAGATGTTCGCAAGTGTACCTCTTAAAGCAGTCATCTTTGTGAACTGCTCAACCCAGCACTTTTAGGACAACACTGTAATCATCGTAAAAGGACAAGCGAGGGAACGTATGGAGCCATACCGGTATGCGCCGTGGCAACCGTGCGACGTAGCTCCGACATCGTTCCGACGGCCGGACGGCTGTGCCACTGAGAGACTAGTCACTGAGAGTGAGCCATGGAGTCTGGTCGCGCCGCAGCGTTCGTGACTGAGCTTCTGCGTGAGCTGTGCCGACTGTCGGACGAGGAGCGTCTGGCGCCGGCCTGTCAGGCGGCATACCGGCGCACCTTGGCTGTCCATCATCCCTGGCTCGGCCGGAACGCTGCCCTGCTCGCCATGTATGCGCTCGGCACGCGCGGAGACACCCTGCTCAAGGTAAGCCCCCCCCCCCCCCCTCCTCCCCCGACGTCGAGAGGACGGGTCGGTGGCGCTAAGAGGGCCGCCCCGGCTCCTGCCGCGTGTGCTGTGTGACACGTGCAATACGCTGTGGAACGCTGCCCGAGTGACAGTGGCCGGCGCTGTGCTCTCAGCGTCACGGGGATTGCTCTCTTGCGTTCTCGGAGCGCCCCGGCTAATCGCTCTCTGCTTCCAGCGCAGCCGGCGAGGGCTGTGGTGTGCGGGCTCTGGTCTTGTCCGGCGTTATCGGGGCGCTCGCTTCCAACCGCCTTGTTTTATTGCGCGTCCTTTAATGTTCCTTGCCACGATCTTCGTCTACGCCGCAGGCTATGGTCGCAATTCTAAGTTGTTTTAGTAGTCCCTGTGGAGTTTTTGGCGTTGTCAGTGCGACGGACCTTTTGCAATAATCCCGCTTGTGAAACGATGGTGTTGGATAAATGACGTGGAGTTCAGTGATATTTAATCGTTATGGTGTGCAATAAGGTCCCCAAGGTACATTTGACAAAACTGCAGTGGCGCTGACTAATGATTTTGGTAGGCTAACCGATGGCAATCCGATAAGTATGCATTCGTGCCGTCTCCCAGCCACATCAGCGCCTGGGGCGTTGGTCTGTGACGTTGTGTTGGGGGGGGGGGGGGGGAGGAGGGAGAGGGGAGGGACTGGCGCCTGAGGCCGCCGTGGCGTGCGCTGCCGAAACAGTTTAGCTCCGGCCCACGACTGCCTGCCGCGCGCGACCCTGTCGCCCGACTCGGCTGTGTGAGACTGTGCCATTCTGCCGCAGCTGCGCACGCCGTCGGCCGGCCTGGGGGACGACCTGGGCCTGGCGCAGTGTGTTGACGTCCTGCATACAGTGCACAGCCAGACGGAGGAGCTGTTCGAGGAGCACCAGCTGACCCAGCTGCCCTAGCGCGGCTGGCCCCGGCCCACGACTGTCCACAGGATGGTGCGGCGCTGTGGTGTGGGGAATAGGGGGAGGGGGGGGGGGGGTCGCCCGGAGCAGCCGGTGAGCCTAAAAACGGCGGCGAGCTCCTCGCAGTGTTAGTCCTCCTTGCGGCTGGTTGTCCGTGCCAGCGAGGCTTGCCGTGGTGTCGCTCTCTGGGGCTGGAACACTGTGTGATTCGTGTTGCTTTGTGCATGCGGCTGGTGCGCCTACTTGCACTGTGTCAGTCTGTAATATCAGCGGGAGCTTAGTCGTTGTCGGCTGTTCAGGTGCACTTTTGGCTTTATGCTGTTGACGATGCAAGCGCCGTCCGCCTCTGTGGAGCGAGAGGAAGTGAGGTGCGCGCGGCTGGCGAGGATGGCCGGCCTGTAATATGTCGGGTCTTTGCCCCCAAAAGAGCAGGGACGCCAATTCCCGCCAGCATTTTCCCGACATATCTCTGTCCAGATGCCTACAATATGTCTTCTAGCCAGAGGTTCTGGGTTTCGCCTTGCTGGCTGGATGCCGATCCTGTTGGGTTGGGCCAGATAGACTCAGGTCTGCACGCTTTGAGAATGTCTAGCCGGTATTTTCGTAGTACGTGACACTAGGCGAGGTGTTCTGAAACTGCCTTTGGTGCTCCACAGCACCCGACCAAGGTTGGGAAATGTCTTGTGCTGACCAATTACTTGTTCTGTCAACCTGTGGGGGAGGATGCTGGGCAAGTATTAGACGAACCCGCATTTATGTCAGTCGACATGCGCATGGTGTCCAATATTCACTCGACTGCCTCATGGTGGTAGTGTTACACATTCGAGTGCACTCATCATGTCGTGTGCACATGCATTCAAAATTCCTTTGTGCTGCGAGGCTTCCAGCTGACCATCCTCGCATGGGAAGATCTTGGTTTGGCGTGTAGAAAGCTGTCTCTGGCTGCATGCGACCCATGCTGGATCAAATCTATCGATTCCCTGTGCCTTGTGCTTCTGAGCGTGCCACACACTATGGAATCGGGTGCTGCGTGTAACACAATAACCCGCGCACGGCGACTGTCCGATGCGTCGCGTCGGGCCTAGCTTGATATTCGGCTGTAATGTGGTGGTTGTGCATGGGGGTGTTACCTGTCGGCGGGTCGGTCTGGCCTCGCTCTGTTTCCGTGTCACGGGGAGTGCTGGGGACGCCGTCCCCGCCTGCCCGTCCCGCCGCGGACAGCTCGCTGTGATCTGTGCCTGCGGACCGTGGCATGTGGACCGCCAGGTATCTCTGAGGGCCTGTGCAGAGGCTAGGCGTTGGTTTGTGGGGATTGCGGGGCGCATATATATATAATACACGTGCGTACCGACCATCACTGGCGTGACGCTGGAGTCTGTCACCAGGCAGCGGTAAGGCGACGCTAAAGTCGCCGGGCGGGATCGCCGAGCATCTCCTCGTGGGTATGGAGGTGGACAGAAATACGCAAACTGAATGTTGCAGCCACTTTATTTTTCAGAAGGCCCCTAATTCCGAAATTGTTTGCAAAACATTGAACTTTCGGATAGGGATTTTCCTCCTCCAATAAGGTAGCTGTGATCTAGATTTCCCGTTAGATCCACCGCTGGGTGTCCGAATGTAATCAACGCATTTCTTTAAAAACGGAAGCAAAATCTGAGGCTCATTCGCGACCGTGCGAGTATTCTTTAATGAATCACTCGTTCGGAGTGGCATCCAGCTATGTGATAAAGTATTTAGTGGAACCATATCAATGCAAGCTGCATGTCATTTTGTCGGGAAATAAGCGTGATATTAGCCTCGAATATTTTTTAGCAGGAATACTATTTTGCCAGGATATTACCTCGGATGCGTGCCTCTGCAGCGAGCAGCATCTCTAATTTCAGGTCGAGCCGGCGTTAATCTAAGTTTCAAACCTTCAAACACCATTTCAAGGAAGGTAAGAGGGGCATCGTATAATGGATTATGGATGATTTGTCACCAATCACCACCAGTTCCTTTGGGAAAGTTCCTTCAACGATGGACTTTTGAGTTTCGGACGCTGCCTAGTTCGAACTTTGCGTAGCTGTTCCTGGCCGAACACGGATCGTGGGACCTCGTGGCTAGTTTCACATATCTGTCGATGGCCTGGGAGTGACAGGGGAGTCAGGTACCTTCAGGAAATGCGAGCATCCTGGCCCTGGAAAAGGCGCTTAACGGCGTTACAACAGTCGGATTGCAGAGTCTGCCTCAACTGCATATTAAAAATAATGTTAAGTAATCGATGATTTATGTAAAAAAAATGTACAATGACCCGGAGATTCCCAGATCCAATGCGAAATAAGTCCCACCTAAGATCGCAGAATTCAGAGAGACTATTTTATGAATAAATTATATATATATATATATATATATATATATATATGTGTGTGTGTGTGTGTATATATATACATAGGGGCGCAGGAACGATTTCAAAATTGATAGGACGAACGAAAGATGGGTTGACAAGCCTTCCTCCCCCATTTTTCCTCTCAGATATTCGGCCACTTACGTGAAAAAGTGATCTGCTTTGAGGCAAATATCTGCTTTAAGAAATCAACGAAACCTCATACATACCGTTGTACACCATAACATCCACATCCCCAAATCTTACACTGGGGTTCAGCAAGTGTACCGCTCGCCTCCGTGGAGGTCTATTTGGTCTAACTGGCAATTGCCCTAGAAATATTATATTAAGATTGCTTATCATTGTATTAACACTTGCATCTTTCCAGCTACTTTCATCCTGCTACCTTCACCCCGTAATGATGCTCATTACGATCAGACCACGGGTCAACTCATTGCCCGGTATACGACTGCTTAGCAAATTATGCGTAAATTCACATCATTATACAGATTGTCATCGCGTCTTCACCCATAACACTTATCTGTTATGACCTATTTTGAAAATAATCGGCCCTCAGTGTCTACAAACCCTGAGGTACAGGCTAAACGTTATCAAGCAGCATTGGTATACATTACGGGAAAACTTACGTTTCGAGACGGTCCTCATGGTCACCAACGAATGGTCATCACTTTCATGATTTTATGTTCGAGATTGAAACTCAAAGCACATAATGTCGAAGAACTAGCAGCTTGGGACCTTCCTTTCTGGTAGCCAATAAGGCGTCATATGGTCTCGCGCTATTACGACATCAAGTTAACAGAAGATGTTTGACGATAAAGCTGTAAAAAAAATATTGTATTACAGTCTCAGTCATTTCGTTCAGGGTAGGAATTAATAAAATACGTCACATGGGACTCTGCGGCATACTTCTATGCGAACAGGTCACAGTATTGCTGACAGCGTTCATAACATCTGCAGACCTATTTTTGTTGATGCTGAACTGGGAATTCATCTAGACGATAGAATGCTGTAATTTTTGGCCCGGCGCTCGAAGCAAATGCAATACACAAATACCTATTGGGATGTATATTACAAGGGGAGCGGGATTGACGCGACCCCCCCCCCCCCCCCCTCCTGCTTCTAAGCTTCGAAAGATAGGGCTTTGCGGAAAAGATGCTGTGGATTGGTCTCAACGAGATCTCGCAACTGGTAATAATATTTATGTATCTGTTAATGATTGATCCCACAAGGTGAGGTCAAAGGTCAATGCTTTACAGGAGCAATTCCAGTTCAACTCAACTTTACCCGCAAATCGAGCCACTTCATCTTAAGGTGCCCATATTTACAAAACGATGCCACGTAACAGCATGGAGGAGTAATCAGCCTGCACTGTTTGGAAAAGGTAATCTGATGTCAAAAATGGGCTGAGTTATCTGGCATAATTCAGCTTTGGTGAAATTGTAAGTCATGTTTTTCCAGATCAGAAAAACGACTCACTTAACTGCTGAGGCTATACGGCGTCACATGCCTCTTACCCTGGCAGGAAGGGCGAGCACCGCGGGGACTCGAACCCCGTACCTCTGGTTTCCCCAGAAGCACAGGAGTTCACCAGACGCGTGTACCAATCCACTTTTGGTATCCACAGATAGCTGATAGGGAAAAAGCAACTTGCACCGACCTTTACAACCATGGTCAAAATTTTGCATTAACCCCAAAATTCAGCAAGCCACCACAGAAAATTTGGTATCCAAAAGCAACGCCGGTGTTAACACGCGCCCGGGTGGCCGGGTAGATACCCTTCGCTCAGCTGGGGGGTCAATTTGACCCCCCACTGAGATCTCGGGAACTAAGAGAGCTAGAGACACAAAATTTGCAGGTTGTCTTGACCTGTACGTGAACTCACTTAGGTCAAAGTTTGAGCTTCCTAGGTCGTGACCTTCAGGTCAAATAAGGTCAAAGAAGGTTAAATTCTAGGTTGGTCACCAAAGCGTCCCCAGAACCTAGAAAACTGTTACTAAGCAAAAGGTCATTTAAGGTCATTGACCTCGTTTGACCTTTTGAAGGTCATGGTGACCAAATCATACAAGACTGCTCTGTGTTTTGCGTTTGAATATGCGACAAAGAACGCTAGGCAGTATGTTCATAAAACAAAATTTCGACCCGGGTCATCATGGGTCAATGGCCTTTTCTGACCTCTAAGAAGTCAATGGAAGATGCATAATGCGGTTCCTGCTGTCAATAAATTCGAAATGAGCACCACAAACTATCCCATACAGCAAGCCCTAGAGTAACAAATCAGGTTGGTTGTGGACCTTGGTCTGACCTCCATACTTGATCTTAGGTCAACTTAATTTGCTCATTCAATATTTGTAGTGTCTAAGAAAGCGTCGCAGAGATGTATGGCTTTGTCAAACACTGCGTTATGGTATCAGATTGGACGATTCCCTAGAAATTGCCTTCGCTGAAACCATAGCCTGACTTTGACCTGCCATAGGTCAGCGACCTTACAAGGTCCATCCAAGTTTGTGATGTCAAACGATCCACCATTCAGTTGTCTAAGGTATCTGGCAGGCAGTCTAAGGTATTATAAGGCAAAATTTGGCATGGCCACGCCGCGCCATTCGGAAGCCATTCCGGAAAAACCTTCGGGGGGGGGGGG